AAGAGGGAAGTAGAAAGAGAAAGAGAGAGGGAGAAAGAGAAAGAAAGAAGAAGGAAAAATTTATTCATTTCACCATATATCATAAAAGTGAGTGATACATTTGATTTATGCCATCTAACATAATAATTGCTATTGAAACCTTTTTCTTTTTTCTTTTTTTAAAAAAAGAAAAAAAGAAAGAGAAAAAGAACTTAAAGGGTTTACCTCGTTGCAATTCAACTTTTCATACATTAAATATGGTGGAAAGGAGTGATGAAATTGAAGAGGAAAGAAGGAGGAATGAAGAAGAGAATAAATGATAAATTGTTAAAATAAAAGAATGCTTACAACATTATTTAATTAATTGATCTTTTATCACTAAATTTAATTTATTTTACATAATACTTTTGCATATTGCATAGAATTTTTCATCGTAAAAAGCATCAATACTTCTAATATAATATTCATAATTGAATAATTTATGAAAATGAATGAATTAAGTTATCCATTTCTGTAATAGAAAGTATAAATGTATTAGTTTCAAAATAAAAAATAAAAAAAGTAATACGTCAAAAAAAGTAAGTGAATAATATCATTGATGAATGAATGATATAAAATTTCATGAAATCTGCCATTTAAAATCTATGATTACAATGTCAATTCTAAAATGATTTAATGATTCTAAAATGAAAGTGTAATATAATTTTGTTAAATTAGTATAATATAAAGCCTCAAAAATATACTAAAAACTATTTTTTTGAAAAAAATTTTCCTATAACATTATGCATTTTCATTTAAATACGAATTAATTATATGATCTCACTAAGAATGTTGCATTATTACTTTTATTATTACTGTTATGATTATCATCATTATTATTATCATCATTGTTATTAATTATTACTATTAATTATTATTACCAATATTAGAGAAAAGAACACCAGAGAAAGAAACATTTCAGTAAGTAAAAATTTCTCGATTTTTTTTGTCTTTTTTTTTTAAAAATTATATGGACCAATTTCTAAAAATTGTAAAATTTTTATTATTTCTTTTTTCTTTTCTTTTTTTTCTAACCATTATTATTAAACTATGCAGACTGAATCAAGTGCAATATTTATGTAACTTAGAACAGTGTTTGTAACTCATATTATTGCTGCTGAGGGTTTTTTAATATCAAAATATTCATATCAAATGCTGTGAATTATTTCTTTGTCATAAATTTGCACATTAAATTAGCTACTAATTAAATCACAATATACCAACTAAACTTTAGACATTTGTTTTAATAATCAGTATATCATAAAATTAACTCAGTAATTTTAAAGATGATCTAAACTAGGTTTGATTTTAAATAGTTTAAGATCAAAACATAAAGATTTGAAAATTTACACTAAGGATATTAAATGTAGATGAGTAATTGATAAGCGGAAGTTCAATTTCATGCTTTACTATTTTTACTTCATAGCAATCATTAAAAAAGAAAATAAAATAAAGCTGCGAACAAAACTTTTAAGCAATTAGATATTTTACATTATAATTGATAAAAAAAGCTTCCCAATTTTTTGTCATCAATTAAATTAGTTTATTCTATATTCCTGTTAAAGTTAGTGGTAGATAACTCATAATTGGTATTCTCTTCCTAAATTAGAGTTTTAGTAAATTAGTTAGAACAGCATACTTTATATAACATTATTTTTACTCAATCACTTCGCCTAACTTTATGATTAAAATTGTCTAATTTTGATTGAAATTGGAATTACAATAACAATAGTCAATTAATACAAAAATAAAATTGCGAAGCAAACAAATCATTGATCAGAAATTTCTCGCAATTTTTTTAATTTGAATTTGTTTCCATTTATGATATTCTTTATAATTAATATCGTTATGTGAAGTATGAAATTGTTTTGTTAAAACTATATCTAATATAACACGCATATCTATATGTTTGATATCTAATAAAACATACATTTGCTTGAATTTGATGAAAGTTTATATTTTGAAAAAATGTACTTATGAATGAATATATAAATGAAATTATAAATGAAAATATCTAGAATATATGAAAGAATGAAAAGTGTAATTATTTCAATTATAAATTGAATACTCATTTTTCTATTTCATCATCGATCATCACATAAAACTATTTGTTTATTCAGTAATAATTAACCACTTTTTTAAAATTTTCAACAATAATATATTTTTAAATTTGCTATCTAAAAATTTTGTCCACACTTTTCAATTAATACAAAAATAAAATTGCGAAGCAAAAATAATGCAGCGAATACTCATAATAAAGTGATGTTAAATAAGAAATGTTTACTTTAATCCAGGATTAAAAATTAGTTTTTCGTCGTTATTAAAAATAAGATATGTTTTTCTAATGGGAGTCATTCCAATGTAGACTATTTTTATTTAGTCACTCCAGAAAGTTTCGTAAAACAAAGAACTTTGTTTCATGATAAATAAACAAATAAAATAAAAAAAAAAAAAAGTGAATAAATATCCCAATTATTTCACCATTCACTGCTTCATTGCTTAAAGGATAACAGTAGATAAGTATAAATTTCATTTGCAAGAAATGGCATAAAATTAATAATTGTAATTTCCTATGTGCAATTTATTGGTAGAATTCTTAATTTGAATTCGCAATTAAAGAGATGGAAAAAGAATTTTTTGCTTGGTTTTGGACAATTTGTGATTTTTACACTTTAATTAGTGCATGCTTAATTGTCTGTATTTATTATCAACTGATAAGCAAAACATGAAGTGCGGAGAAAATAAGAATTGTTTATTATATGGATATCGATTAAATGATTTCTTAAGCAATAGTAATATTTGAAAAGTGTGGAGAAAAGTTTTAGATAGCAAATTTAAAAATAAATTATTGTTGAAAATTTTAAAAAAGTGGTTAATTATTACTGAATAAACAAATAGTTTTATGTGATGATCGATGATGAAATAGAAAAATGAGTATTCAATTTATAATTGAAATAATTACACTTTTCATTCTTTCATATATTCTAGATATTTTCATTTATAATTTCATTTATATATTCATTCATAAGTACATTTTTTCAAAATATAAACTTTCATCAAATTCAAGCAAATGTATGTTTTATTAGATATCAAACATATAGATATGCGTGTTATATTAGATATAGTTTTAACAAAACAATTTCATACTTCAGATAACGATATTACTTATAAAGAATATCATAAATGGAAACAAATTGAAATTAAACAAAATGCGAGAAATTTCTGATCAATGATTTGTTTGAATTAAATTTAAATTGAAGCATTACTAATGAGTGTCAGGAAAGCATCATGATAAAAAATTATTGTAATGAATATATGTATAGGACCTTGAAATTTGAAAAAAATTGACATTCTTATAAAAAGTAAGAAAAAAAGTTATTTTTCTTTCGGAAGAATTTTTTTTTTTCAATGGAAAAACTAAAATAGGGCATGAAATAATATATAGGAAGAATGAAATGTATCGTACAGGTATTAGATCAAGGTAAAAGGAATGGATAGCACTTTTTTGTTTTGTTTTGTTTAGTTCTTAACAATTGTAATGATTTCTGCATTTTATATATTCGAAAAATTCAAATGACAAATTCTTTCACGTTTTTTTTCAATCTATCACATTTTTAATATATGTTTATTATCTTTGTATTATTAATATGAATAAATTAATTTTGAACAAAAATTTACAAATCTTTCAATCATTTCTACCTTTTCTTTTAGAAAAAAAAAAAAAGAAGAACGATGTGTTATTTTTTTAAGAAACAAAGCTAAATTCACACCATTTAAAAAAAAAAGGTTAATTTTGGAAGAAATTACAGTATCCCAATTGTGCAACACGCATAAAACTATGTTAAATTTAAATAGCAAAAAAAAAAAGAAAAGAAAAAGAAAGCAAGGAAAAGTATATATGTATTTGCAAAAAATTTGTAAACAGTAAGTAGTAAGGTGAAGTAAGAATCTCATATTTTTTTTTTTATGCTTTAAAAATTATGGAAATTTTATGCGCGAATGATTCGTTTACATTAAAAGTATAAATGTAACATATATGTAATAGTGAAGGAATGAAAAAAAAATTGCTATTCTAATATTTTAAGTATGACAAAGACGGTAATAACGCGCCGATCAATGAAAAACTCAGATGATACATCCGTAGTGTCTTCAATTTAAAATTATATCGTTAAGTTCCTTTTCCTTTCTTCCTTCTCTTTCAAATTTCTCAACTTCTCTCTAATAGAACACACATGCGACACTCCAATGAATTTAATCATGTATTTTCACCGTGTATCGTTTTGTGTGGTAATCCCTAATGCCATCAATTAAAATGGTTATAATTTTTTTGAATAGTTGAACAACTTGCTCCGTAAAGCGGCAAAGAAATTCACCGACGTATGGTATGTTACGATAATATAGAAAACGTAGTATTGACGTCCTTTGACTTTTATACTATCAACTTTTGTTAAACAGTTTACAATTCAAATGAAATGCAAATTTATTCTCTGGACAGGCAATTGATGAAAAAAATATCAAACATTCATACAATTATAAAATCGACAGATGGAGATCTGGATGGATCTAAGTGGCTTAAAAATACATGGTAAATGAATATTCAATATTCATTATGACAGGATATTTCAATGTAACAGAATTTCAGTATAATTCAATGTAAAAGGACAATAAAAGTTTTTCAAAACAAAAGGAAATAATTTCATTCTCAAAAGGGGAAAGAAAGGAGCATTTTTTTAAACTGACTAACATTTGATGCAAAAAATCTATAATATTCTCAAGATTAAAAGCCAGAGTATGGGGCAGTTGAACTCTTGTCATTATTTTTCTCATGTTTCACAGATAACCTTCATCCAAATAAAAAGCATGTAGATGTAAACACATCAAATGAACTGTGAATAAGACTAGCACAAACAACAATTCAGAACTCTGAAATGCTGGGAGTAAAATAAAAAAGGAAAAGCAGATATAAATGATTTATTACATTTTCACTGCGCCATCTTTTCCAGTGGTTCATTTAGAGGTTTTAAAGAGAAGCAATAAACCCTGAGGTGTGCACATAACTGCCGAATGATCATGACACAGTATAATGACAGGCTGGCATAAGCATACACCTAAAATAAAGATTACGGCCAATTATAAAACGATACTGATATATTCAACATAAAGGTAAGCTTCAAAACCATCAATATTATGCAAGCTTGTTAAGCTGACAAAATGCTTTAGATGCATCATGTATTGTGAATGCGTATTAAGCGTAACATAAAATACGCTTCAAAAGTCAATCCATTCCATCATTTCCCAGTAGTGCTAGTAGTTTGTTCATATAAATAAAACGAAGCTTCATTTTAAAGTGAAGTATTAAAACCCTGTCAGATATTTTTGCTTTTAATTTTTCCATCCACTTCATTTATAAAAACAAATTATGAGTCTTGATTTTAAAGAATTGGTTGCAATGACTATTATGACTATTTATAATTAAGTGTTAATATATATAGTCGAAAGAATAAAAAACCAACTGGACAATGAAAATAATAATGATTAAGAAAACTTACTGTCGCACAAAGGAGAAGATAGAACTCGTCCAGCGGCATATCGTAATACTGATTAAGCATCATCATCAAAGGTGAGAGATAAATCCAATCCCACATCGCTAATTCACTGCGACTCATATGAGCCAATATTAATCTGAAAACTTTTGCAGGCCAATTTTTCAAGTTTTTCCCTTTACCAACATTTATTCAGAATGCTGCTATTGATAAGGAACATTTGAAAAGGAAAAACTATGTACTGTCCCGTTGCAACTTCAAATAATTATTCCTGCATCGTTTTAAGATAACAACAATCTGAGATAACAACAAATCAAAACCAAACATGGTTCTTAAAAGTCCCGCTCTTTAACGTGTTTTTACTTTTGGGTACATAAATTCATGACATTTTAATTCAAACTATCCGTATGTTAACTTGTGGAAGCAAATGTGTAATGAAAATGGGAATATAAAATGTAAGCTTACCTCATGGTAGCTTTCGTTGATACTGCACCAAGACATAAAGTAAACAAAGTGATATGGTCATCATAAACTGCTGTCACAGATTTACTGTATATCATGCAAAACGGTGTTATCATCATCAGCAGTGGTATTAGAGGCGATAAAACAGATGTGTCCTGAAATATATATAAATATAAACTGCATCTCAAAAAAAAAAAAAAAAAATTGATGAAACCTATAAACAACAGAGACTTCAGATCGAATCCTTCTTTTGAACTTACCGCAACAGTAGATCCATTCTTCCCAACACCTTCAGTAACAACATCTACAAGATAGTCACCAATCTGCGATACGCACATTAAGGAAGAGATGAAAATAGCCACATGCTTTAAACTGATATGTAGGAGCTGAAATAGATCTCTTTAACAAAAGAACTCAAACTGACTTTTCCAAAATGCTTCATATACCCATATATTACTGTCAAAACTAGGAAGAAACAGCTTTGAAATAACCTTTTCTGTCCAAAAACCTGTGCCAAATATAGATGTCATTAACAGGACGACTAATATGGTCATTTGTGCCTCAGTGACGTCAAACCTGCAAAAACATTGTGACAATTTTTTTTGTAGAAAGAGATTAAAATTCAAATTTTATTGCTTCGAAACAGACGGACATCCTGAAACTAAATAATATATCAAAACGAAAAAAAAAAAAACTTGCTTTGCAAATTTTAAGCGCCCCGTGCAATACGTGCTCCAATGTGCACAATAAAAAAGTACAACAGATAAAACAGTTACAAACAGCACCATGTAACGTTCCTGCCCCAGTAACATAGCGTAACAAATATTTAGTGTGACAAGTACTGAAATATTCACATGAGTGCAAAATAAATTATAAAATGAGCTTGAAGAAATCATCGCATTTGCGTAATGGTGATGAGTTAGAAAGCAATTAAAGTTATGCGATTTTTTACAGCAAATATCGATTTACATCTAAACAACAAACCTTGCGACATGGCATCACAACCATGATCGAGTAGTTCACCTAGGGGCGAACTAGAGCCTGTACGACGAGCTTGCTTCCCATCAGTAGCATCCAATGTTTGGTATAAAAATACTCCAAGTGCTGCTTGGAAATATGCCCAAGATGACGCCTGTAATAACAGCTCTAACTGCTTCATTTGTGGCGCTTTACTTACGATTTATTTCTAACGGCTGTATCCAAATTTATTAACATAGATGATAGACTGCTTATAATGGACATAGAAGTTAAACTTACAGCAACTTTGGCATCATACGAGAAACAAGCCAAGATGAGTACAGTTACAAGGTTTATCAAAAATCCCGACATGGTGATTACATTTGGAGCAATCCACATAGGATAAAATCGAACGACATATTCCCAGAATCTGGAATCCACTTAGCAACAAGAGCGATGTTTTTTGGGCTACTTTTAATTTCCTTCAATAGAAAACCTACTACTGTCTTCTTCGTGTTCCCAATTCTACTATTAGCACATTAATAGGACATTAAAAGGATTTTCTGAAGATAAAAATTCGCGAGTAGTTTAATCCTTTTGTAAACTTGATAAATTTAAAAACGGGAGTAAACTAGCAAGAAAGCCGTTTTAAAATATACCGTTTCATGCAGTACTCATCGAGCCAAGATATATCAACTGCAGAATATTTATGCTCCCGCAAGCGGTTCATTTGTGCAACTCGAAGCTGGCAATCACCTTCCAAATAATCTTCCCATGCATTACGTACTGACCACTTCACATATTCCATAGTTCTCTAAATTCTCTATATAAATACCTAGGTTACAAAAGCTACCAACGATATTTAAATAATCCAATAGTTCGTATCATAAGAAGAAATTGTTGAAATATGAACCGGAAGAAGCATTCTTCATAGGTATGTTCATCGTTTTCGAATATATGGAAAAAAATTGGAAGAATGGAATTAAAAAAAGGAAGGCATTTAACAAAAACCTTTATTGGAAATTTTCGGAGAAAATCATTCTGTGATAATATTATAAAAAAACACATGAAGTCTATGACTGTTGTACTGGAGAAAAAAGGAGCAAAAAGAAAGCTAGGAGAAGGGATGTTATCCAACTAGAGCATCAGTTAGGCATCGCTGAACAATACAAATGATTTGCAACAAGTCTTGTAAACCGGAACCGGTACGTCCATAAAAAACTTCTACTGGAACAAATACGGACAACTACCAAATAAAAGAAATACCAATAAAGCAATAAAGAAAAACTATAAAAAGTGGTTGAGTGAAGAGGAGCGGATAAAATAGAGGATACATGTGAACGGTCAAATATGAAGACTTGCTTTTGTGGTACAAGGACTAGTCTGTCAAATGTACACATCGTTACATGTAGTAGGAATGAAACCAAAAATGTATGACTTAACCTTTGAGGTTGTTCTCCTATCGCAAGCTTCCATTTCTCATTTCATAAGCATACGAATTACTGTATCGTCTCATTTGAAAAGCCTCAGACAGCACCTACAGAGTAGACTACTGTTGCTGGTTTAATAAGCATGTATGTTCGTGCTTAACTCTTTGTAACATTAAACATAGCACAAGACCTATACATTTGTTTTTCCCACCAATCACTTCCTTAAAACGCCAAAAGGTTGTTAAGTTAGACAAATAGATTCCCGACACCTAACATCTATAACTCCTTTTGCTTTTGTGACGGTAAAGGCAATTTGAAATACGGGCCACGTCATCTTTTAATTTTCAAAAGGAACGCAAAACGTACCGTTTTCTGGGTATAAAAATTTTAGTGTTATCAGCAGATTCTGAGGAATTAATCCATGCAGGAGAAACAGAAGATTAATCAAAAACACATGTAGCTTTTTATAGGCTAGAGATAATTGATTCGATAGCATAAAGCTGCGGACAGTACCGTATAGGGAAAATATATCATTCTTCCGGTATATTTCCTTATAGAAAAAAATAATTAACGCCTTTGTTTGCTGGTTATGCAATAAATTCAGGCTGTAATTTTATATTCCATTGTTAAGGCTTTAGGATTCAACATGTACTAAGAATGAAATAAAACTAAACTAAAAGTTGAGCGAAAATAGTAACTAAGACATGAAATTTACAGACAAAAATACAAAGCGAGAAACATAAACTCCATATCTTGTCATTCATCCACAAGCATCTTGAAATCACAGATGCTTGTGTGTGCTACCAATTTAAAGACTAGATAAAGATACTTGGGAAAATTTTATCAGATGTTGTCATGCAGATCTAAAAAACTACTATGTACACAATAAGGGCGCTTCCTGAGAATTTAACGTGTTATAAGCGTGCCCACCATTTCTTCTGTTTGATAGATTTGATAGAGATGGTTACTATTTGTTCTCCATGTTTTTAGCAGTTGTTCCCTTTTGTGTAAAGTAACATTGCTTAAGCGAAGTGTGATTAAAAAACCAGACTACAACCTTCGTATGGGTAATTTTCCAAAAAACAAATTCAAAAAGAAATTTAAATGAGAAAGACTTGAGATGGAGCAAATACAAAAGTTGCACCGATAAGCATTTGTATATAATGTGTTCCAAAATATCCCGAATTTGCAATGCTTAACTTTTAATGAATCCATCTCCGCAAATACATGCCCATTTTTAGCCGCATAAGCAATATAGTATCATTTCGTAAAAAAAAAAAAAAAAAAAAAATGCAACCAAAAATAATACAAAAAGTAGGACAGGACAATAATATAGAAGAAGAGAAGCAGAGCTGAAATTTAAAATAATGATAGGAAATGAACAAATTTTTTGTAAATGACTTTTTTTGCATAGTCATGCGTTACACCTTCTGAACAAATGAATGAACAGATGCATAGAGCACGCACATGGGAAAATATTTCTGCCACTTTAGTCATAGAAACAGTTTAACAACTATGCTTCAAGAACGAAATATGAGAAAAGGTATGTAGGATTTTATCTATATCTACTCTCAAAACATGAGAATAAATATAGATAAGTCCTACATTTGACCGTTAAGTAAGCAGCAACGAATCGTTAACATAGGTTGACAGTTGCCTCATTAAAATTTGTACCTACACGGATTTCTCTCACAAACGCCTATTCTCAATATTTGTCGAGATGTGAAGCAAATGAAAACCAGGAAACGCTGTAATATGACACGAACATCTCTTAAACGTTATAATATGAATATCTCTTAAAAAGCAAGGAAAAATTATACTATAGGTTTATCAAATTAGCCTTGAACGGAAAGGGTTGTTCGGCCTTGAAATCAGATAGCATGAGGAAAAACGACAAACATGTGCTCTTAACTCTACAAAACCGATGTGAGCAAAGAATGTTCTTTTAACAAAGACAATGTCACTGTTGGTACATGGTACCATATCAGTAACAATAACGTCACGTCAACGTTTATGAGCATTCTTCGCTCATTCCAGACTTGTTATTTTGCAGGTCTATTATGGAAGAATAAAACTGTTGACTTTTTATCATCCCTCCAAAAAGACGTGTTATATTGGCCATCACAAGGGTTCAAATTAAAAGATTCTGATTCGAATTTTTTGGAAAAGGGACATTTTTTATTTCTTATATTATCAATTACATTACATTGTTAATGCTGCGATAAGTCTTAAACAAAAAAAAATAAAAAAATAAATGAGCAAAATAAAGGAAACAGTAGGAAATGACATGCAAAAAATGCTGAATTATATACAAGCAAGATACCTCAAAGCGTGCACGACAGGAGTATTTGCTCACGAAACTTCTGGCATTTCTTACACCATAGCGACGTTCAAACTCACGTGATAAATGTCGTGATGTCGGTCGTACCCAACCATAACTCCGTTCTTCACCATTCATCACACCCTTAAATGTTAAACCACCCTTAACTTCATAACTTCATATCATAAAGCTACGTTCATAAAATATAAAAGTCAACCACTACTCATCTTCCGTACTGCTCTGAAAACAAACGACATTGGAAAATCACAAAACTTCCAACAAGATTTTATAAAATACATATGTGGCACCAAACTACAGTAACTAAAACAGCATTTTCAAGCTTCGACAAAAAAAGGGAAAGCAGTCAACAAATATTGGGCAATCACTTATAACGTGTGATAAAACTATTAACCGCTGCGTTCCCAACTTTTTACTCACATTTTTCGATGCATATAAAGGCTCTCAATACTTTCACTACAATTAGCATGCATAAAACATCAACATCTATCAATTCGATATGGAAAATATCAAGTAGGACAACACGAAACAAAAAGTTCTTTGAAAGGACAAGGAAGTGCAAACACTAAAGAAGCGGACAGGAAACGTTGAATGATACCTAAGAAAATAATCAGTTTATATATTATAGGAATTACTAACACATACATACAAATTAACGACCAGTCACTATGTCAGAAGCTACATTGTTCTCAGAATGCTAAATGTAATGAAACTTGGGATGCTCTGATATGCTCCAATTATATACAGGCATCGTAATATAGAAAATAGAGGATAGTGATCTTTAGTAGGTATCATGGTAAAGATCTACAACATGTCTTTTTAGAGGGAAGTGTAAAATGTATATATAAGCAGTGAATGAACCGGTGGAACAAAATAAACCTACCTGTGCATGGCTGAAGGAGGTCCAAAGGGGAGGTACTCGACGTGACCTTCCACTGACGTCCATAACAGACCTGCAGAGTCATTTTAATCAGTTTTTTCTTTACCTTGATTAGCGCTAACAATACGCAAAACAGTCTTGAATTTCTTCAAAAAGGCATTCTTGAGGAGAGTGTGAGCTGATACTTCTCTCTAGAAAGCATTTCTTCAACTGAAGCAATATCCAGAAAATTTAACGGATGACTATCAGCTGTAACTAAAAAGAACAAAAGTCATTACTTCAACGATACATAATGCTTAGCATAACTTAGGGAAAAAGGGAGGAAGAATGAAGAATCTCCCTTTCACTATCGAATACATCTCTAAAACATGCAAGAGTTCGTCATTGAAAGAAATCAAATCTCTCTCTGTACAAAGGCTGCTATTAATATTTCATTTCTTTCCATCATATAATTTACAATTAGTATTTTAATTGCATATTTCGAAGGTACACTTCGTAAACCACTCACCAATAGCTTATATAATGCCACAAATAAATACAGACAACAATCCGACAACCCAAAGTTATGACACAATGAAAACTGAAAGCCAGTAACTTTCTATAATAACAGTAGGATAAACAACATTTATCACTGCCTCCTCATTTGTCACCCATCCATAACTATCTCTCTTATCATTTATGTGTCCTCTTCATCTTCGCAGCAATACCTTCCACATTCCTCTCAATTCAAAATCATTGTCACCCATTTTCCCACACATCTTCCTGGCTCTCCTCATTAAACACCATATTTCTCGCTGCTAATTGTACAGGCGACAATTGATTAATTCTTGCCATGCTTCCCCATCCACCAACTAACTCAGTGACCGACAAAAAACCACCTTCACAACAAAGTTGAATTTTATATGGCCCTCAATGATCCGTTATCTTGAGACGAAACGAAAATTGTTCGTCCCCAGCAATAAAATGGTACCAGATATTGCGAGGAACTTCGATACGGAGAGTTATGTATCAAAGAGTCGTTTATGAGGTATGGTATAAACCCAATAGGTAATTTATTTCTTGAAATTTTCAGTAAAGCCGTAAAATGCAATTAAAATAGGAATTTTTAAGGGCTCAAATTGCGGATAGATATTTTATAGAACCGAAAAGATGGACATATACAGCAGATATACCTTGGCTGGATACCATTCCTGATGGAATAACATGCTAGATTTCAAACAAGGATCGACAAGAATCAAAGTGCAATGCTAGGCTGAAAGTCGAATTGCACCACAGAGCAAAAAATACAATTAATCAACTCAATTAGGAATCGTTATTTATCGTCCAAAAAGGAAGGGGATTTAAACGAAGAAGATTTCGGAGATGTGTAAATTCCGACAAAAGTTAATTTTGAGAATGATTCAACGATTGCATGAATATCATTTTGACAATTTAACAACAACGGATTTTAATAATGGAACTAAAAATATATTCAGTAGCAGTGGTTGAAACGGTTACAACAAGAATAATGTATCACAACTGATAGATATAATGAGTGTCAGAAAAAAAAAATGCTTTATTAAATGCATATTTATGAAACTTTTTGAAATTTTTTTTCCCTTTTTTGGAGGGATAATCAATCGATCACAATGAGAAAAGATAAAAAAAACAAATGATTTCGCTACAGTAAACATTCGGTGGATTGTTTAATATCGTCCAGTATTTACTCTATATTATCCTGTAACTGTAATATTACATAATACCGTATATTATCATAAGTAATTATTTGTTATCATATAAATGCAATATTATATATTATCAAATAAGCAATTGTTTATTTATCATCGTATAAATGCAATATTATATAATATCATATATTATCATATAGATAATTGCTTATTATCATATAAATGCTGTTCTATAAAATATCATATAAGATTAATGAAGGTTATTGCTAATAAAATGGAATTATAGCAACAAGGAAAATGAATGGGAAGACCTTTTTCTGACACTCATTATATCTATCAATTGATAAAGTTGCAAAGTATTTTTTATCAGTTAGTAATCATATATATATATATATATATAATGTTGGGGATTAGAATTAAATGTCAATAACAATTATCAGTTATCATTACATATCAAGATCGATTAATAAGACTAGTTAATATATGATCGAATATTTTTGAAAATAAGAAACTAACGATGAAAATATTGTTGGTATTTTGTTGGGAATGGATCAATTTATCAGAATGAGAGTGAAAAATTTAATTTAAAAAATAAAAAAAAAAAAAAGTCAGATGGGAGTAAAGAAGAAAAAAAAAAAGTCTTAAAAATGATTCTAAGGAAATATTTCATATTTAATATTTGTGTTTCAGAAAAACTCAAAGCATTCTCATTTCAGGTTAAATGCATATTTATGAAACTTTTTGAAATTTTTTTTTCCCTTTTTTGGAGGGATAATCAATCGATCACAATGAGAAAAGATAAAAAAAAACAAATGATTTCGCTACAATGTGCTTTTGCCATGCAAACAACTGTGTAAAACCAGTTTCATCACACAATCCTTTCACATTTCTAATTGCTAACACAGCCAATAACTGACTTTATTACTCTTTCACATATACGTTATCGTTCAAGCCTTTAACAAATTTCTGGAAAATTACCACAAAAAGGAAAAAAAAAAATATTATAAATTTATACATTTTTTTTAGTAAATTGTTTAGTGATAGAAATGTATTTCCTTGTTTATTTAAATTTTGATCAAAAACAGATACCAAACAAAAAGAAAGAAAAAATGCAGTAGCGCAGATGGCGACCAATAAACCATTGTAACTTTCACAAATAAACAAGTTGTGTAAGAAAACATTCCGAATTAATATTTTCAAAATTTAACAATCAGTTGTTATTCATCTTGCATTGAAATTTTCAATGATATATTAGCTTAATTTCAATTCAAAAAAAAAAAAAGGAAAAGAAAAGAAAAGATCTTTCATTCTTTTAAATTTATCATTTCTTCTTTCTATCTATACATTGTTTTTTTTTTTTTTCATTTTTCCTTCGATTTTCAGGAAAATGATTCCATTTTGAAATGATGAAAGTATTCGTAAGGATATCATTTACTCTAACATAATATATCAATGTCATCTTTGAACATTTAAGTAGATAGATATATACGGCAGCAAGTCAATCATATATATATGTACATTGTTTTAGAAAATGATAAAATAAGAGGAAATTTTCTTTTTTTTTTCTCTTTTTTATACAGTTTGAAAAAAAAGCAGCACACATAGTTCAAAAAAAAAAAAAAAAAAAAAAAACCGATAATTGTTAATTTTGTCAATTTTTTTTCTCTTGAATGCCACATCAGCTATTATTTGAACAGTCGATTTTTTCGATAATCAGTAGCAGTTTCATCAACACTAAATGTCATTTGTCGGAGATCTTCACTAGCCGATGTACTTCCTTCGGATATCTGCAAGCATGCTAGAAATACATATATTTTTTTTTTCTTTTTCTGAAGGTAATATATATATCGAACATCAAATGAATGATTTTAAATGATAATACAGAATTTGTGATTGACGCAATAGAAACTATAAAATTGAATATTAAAATTTTCTTCCTCATATAGTAAGAAATCGAAAGAAACAAGTAATATTTTCATCCATTCGCAGATGGATACATATTTGGCTGAAAGCAGAAGTGTGCTTGCTAGGCATAAATTCAAATGATGATAATTTTTAGATTTTTGATCTCTGAATATCCTACATACTAAATTTTAGATTTCCACCATGACAGCTAGATTCCAGGTATATTCCAGACATATAATATAGATTTTTTTCCAATATCTATTTTTTCATGTTGAAAAAAAAAAAAAAAAAAGAAATGAAAACGTACACCTGACGACGAGTCACCTGGCGTAAGCGCTACGTCTGCTGAATGAGTTGTGAAATCAGCTTCATCAGCTCCACGAACATCATTGATCAAAGCTTGGACAAGGCCCTCATGAGATAGGGTTTCAATTGCTGCCATATCCATCTTTACCTAAAATTGGAAAAGGAAAAAAATCGGAATTTAAAAAATTTGAATTCTGTATTAAATTGAACTGTTAAATACAACTGAGTGACATTTTAACTCAACAGAATCAGCTAAATTAGCAAATAAAAAATATTGTCACAATAATTAGAAAAGAAAAGAAAAAAAAAGAAACAAAAATTTCACCTTGAAAGGGCAAGCTTGTTCATTAATAACACTGGGATAATACTCTTTGAAATATGGATGCTGAATGGCTTCATTAACATCAATTCGCTCTTCAGGATCCATTTTAGCCATTTTAGCAATTAAATCTAAGGTTTCGATAGAATCGGCTTTATCGCGAATAATTTCATTCCAAGGCCGTACGGGATGATCACCAAAATTTTCGATTAAACGTCGTGTTCGATCGCATTGAATCTGATTCAGGATCTGAAGCAAGAAAAAGAAATTGAACAAAATTATGCTTTATTAATCTAAAAAGGAAGCATTTCAAGATTTTTTTTTTTGAACTAAATTCAATTAATGCTCATTGGAATGAACGTTAATAATTATGAATCGTCCTTTTTTAGCAACAAAACAAACATACACTTTTTTCTCTGCCTATGAGGAAGTAGAAATTTTAAGATTTAATTTTAAATATCTATCAAAATTTGATTTCTTACTAATATTTGTAGCAAATAATAAAAATTAGAATAGAAAGATCTGAGATCTATGTTACATTCACATCTTTATCAAATTTCTCCTTCCTATTCATATTTAATTAAAACTTGATCAAAAAAAGAAAAAAGAAAAATAAAGAGAAACCTTGCCCGAAGGTGCACCAAGCATGGTGACAATAATTTTTATTTGTCCACTTACACTTCGACCAGGAAACAATTCTCGCCGAATTATCATTTCAGCAAAAATACAAGCAACTGCCCATAAATCCACCGCTGTTGAATGTTCCGGCATCACAAAAAGAAGTTCGGGAGCTCTGAAAAATTTTTAACCCCAATGACTTTTTCTTTCACTTTTTCTTTCCTTTGAATTATCAAATTTATGATATGTATTTTCAACCTCCAACTTCCAATCAGTCCTTCAGTAGAATACACTGTTTGTCGCTTCTATAAAAGACAAAAGTTTGAAACTATGTTACTCATCACAAAGAAATTCTAAAGTGATCAAAAAGTCGAAATTTGAATGGAAATAATTTTCCTTAAATTTCATAAATTTTATAAATTATATTCTAAAACGAAATCTATCATTGTTTCATTGGATGAAATATTACTTACCTATACGGTAATGTAGTTATATGTTGTGTCATGTAGAATGAATGCTCTTCTACCTCTTCAACCTGATTTTTCATTGCTAATTTTGCCATACCAAAATCCGCAATGCGCAAATGGCAATCACCATTAACAAGTAAATTTGACGGTTTCAAATCGCGATGAGCAATACCGGCAGCATGTATATACTAAAATTAATGATAAGGGTAATTTTGGACAAATAAATGTTAAAACTAAAAATAATTTATCAATAAAAATGTAAAAAAATCCTAATGAAATATTTACCCTAAGTCCTCGTAATATTTGGTATAGAAAATGAGAAATTAAATCATCTTCCATTGGACCACCACAATAGATGAGATGATGAAGATTACCTTCCATTAGATCCATCACAAGGTAAACATTTATTCCTGAAAAAAAAAAAAAAAAAAAGAAGGAATAATCCTATATAACTTAATTGGAAGTAAGTTTAAGAAATGAAATGAATGAAATTTGATACTTACCTAAATTTCCGGGTGTCCGAAAAATATCCCTGAGACTAACAATGTTATCATGAGCAATATAACGGAGCACTCGAATTTCACGCAATGTACGTCTGGCTGAAGTTGGCGTTGCTGATGCATGGCCGATTTTTTTGATGGCAACCTAAATTAAATCATCATCCAGCATGACAAAAGAAAAAGAAAATAAACAAAAAGGTAAAGTTCTGAGTGCAATGAAAAATTCAAAAATCAACTAACTTTTTTTCCTGAATTTGTTTCAACTGCTTCACATACGATGCCAAATGCGCCAGAACCTATGTTTCTGATTGCTTCATAGCTACTTCCAGCTGCGCCAAATTGAAAATCAAGAAGAAGTTGACGGCGAGCAAGGTCATCCAATATCCTATTGAAAGCTTGTGCCGTTGCTGGCATCCTAAAAATTGACTGATCCTGAAAACTGAAATTTTAACCAAGCATACATAATGTAAACGAAAAATTCATGGTTAGAGATTATAACAATCGTTTTCCGTTTGATGAGAATTATAGGAATAAATAGCAAATATCCGATATCACTGATAAATAAATATAATAGTTAAATGCTGTTATAAACAATAATAAACTGGAACTGATACAAATTCATATCACTGTAACTGATTCATGTCATTCATTTCAACCAATGCAAAGAAAAAAATTAAATATCTACAAGGGAGGGAGTGAGAGAAAGATAGAGAGAGAGGGAGAGTGAAAAAAAGGAAATTCATTGATAAAATAGTTAGAATAAACAAAATGCATATGAAAATAAATGTGAAGAGAATGAAATTTGATGAGTAAAAAGAAAAAAAAAAAAAATGAATGGAAAAGTGATAGCTTGATGTATCATACGGCATAACAATTCCATTGTGAGCTATCAAATTTATAAGTGATAAAAAAAAAAAATTTTTTTCTGTTTGCTTTTTAGAAAATGCATTATTTATGGATCACTTATATCTAATCTATTAATATCTAAATTTACATCACATTTGTTTGCAGAACATAAATGAAAACTTGATAAATAAGTAAATTTGATAAGTGGTGTACATGATACGATATATATGCGATATGCTTGTCATATTTCAAACATTTTCTAATCTTACTTTAAAAAAAAAAAAAATTACAAATGCTCAATTTATTGCTACATCTATGATTAAATATTTTATCAATGCTTAAAAGAAGATCAAAGATATGGTATTTCTTTTATAAAATTCTTATCTTTTTTTTTTTCATAAAAATAATGAATATGGAATAAATCTTACGTAAAAATTAAGTATTAAAAATTCCATGCATATATATATGAGGATATGATAAGAAAGAAAAGATATTCTGATAATGTGATATAACAATAATATGAAATATTATGCACAATAACATCATCAATTCAGGAAACTTTTGAAAATTGTCTAATTAATAAATTTAGAAGATGTAAGTTGAACAAAATAATGAACTTATACAGTAATAAAGTAAAAATTTTTGCAATGAAAAGTACAAATGAATTGATGACAGTTCAGAAATGTAATTATAAAAAGAAAAATGTTTCTTTTTTTTTCTCAAAAATTAGAGCTATTTGAAAGGTAAAAGGTTATGTGTACAATAAAGTGCAATGGTTTTTTTTTTCTTTTTCTTTTTTTTTTCCGATGAAAACATTGATAAAATTAAAATAAACTTATATTATAAATAAAGATTAATTTAAATTGAAAATATATCGTCAGAATATGGAAAAATGCTTATTTCACTCTTTCGATTCATTATAACCTTCCAATTCTACTACATTTTTTCTCTTAAATATTAAACGAATTCAATTTCCAAATGGAGACTGATTGTGTTTCATTTTCAGGAATAAAGCTTAAATTTAATTTAAACTCAGAATTTTACAAATCACATACTGTGAATTCAACAGCAGCAATGCATTTGTTTATATTTATCAACAGCATTCAGTGTAAAATATAGCATATAATAACAAATTTTCATCAACAAAAAAAAAAAAGAAATGAACCAAAACTTTAAAAAAATTTTCAGTGTTAATGACAAGACAGATAAATGAGATAAGTATGAAAAAGAATTACTGAAAAAAAGATTATATGAAAAGGACGGACGATCAACAACAACAAAAAAAAAAATGAATCTTAGAAAACATATTTATATTGTATCAGTTTATCGTATATATTCATTCAAATGTACATAATTATGTAAACTTTCAATTGAATCACTAAATTTTTTCAAAAAATAAAGATAAAAAAAATTAAAAACTAAAAAAATTAAAAAAATAAAGGACTGAAAATATGGCTCACCAAAAAATGTGCCGGGAAAAAAAAAGTTAACACGGATGACTTGTGATATTGGACAATTTAAAAAAAAAAAAAAAGTTAAAAAATGTCATCAGAATTTGTCACATCAACATTTTATTTTAACCTATTATATATACATCTAAATGAAAGAAGGACTGCTATCACATCATACTAGTTTAAATTAAATTTTTAAAAATATATAATAAAAACAAAAAAGTTTTTAACATGAAATACTTCTAAATATCTAGAATTTCCATAAAAAATAATTAATCAAAATTAAGAAATTATTATTTTAATTGTGATAAAATTAAAAATGAAATATTAACAATTCCATATAAATGATATCAAATAAATTTTATCATAGATAAAGTGCAAAATTAAACGTAAAAATTGTATTCTTAAGTTTAATAAAACATATCAGAAATTAACAAATCATAAAATTAGTAAAATGACACAAATGCACTAAGTACATTTAAAGCAAACAAAATAAATATTTTTTTATTTTATTTATTTATTTATTTTTTTTGCTCGGTAGCAAAGAAAGTAGCAATCAAAACAAATATTTTCTTGTTAAACAGACAAATATTTTACATTAGAAACATCATACTATTGAAAAAAAAAGAAAAGGAAATAGGTTTGTTAAGTGAATGAATCATCAAATGTGACATTTACATCAATGGATGGGACAAGTGAACCTACGTGGACAATTTTTATTTTACTACATTTCAATGATTTCCTTTCACAATTAATTATCAAAATTAATAAACAACATTATAATTCATTTAATAAATGAATAAAAAGAAAATAATTTAATATTTTGGCCAAAATTTTTTTTTCTGTATTTCAAAAGTTTAAGCTTAAGCATAAATTTAAGTCTAAGCCTAAATCATCTTTCATTCATTTATTCAAAATATGAATGAAATATTAAAATGAAAAGATGATTATGGGTAATGCAAAATGTCAAATTGATGACATTATCGTATAATATTCTTTGACCTTTATGAATCATTCATTTTAGTACAAATTGAAATTACATTGCTACTAAAATAGAAAATTACTATTAAAAGTACAAATTAAAATTAAAAAATTTGAAATAGGTAGTAGCATAAAAATGAAAAGAATGATATGTTTAGTAAGATGGATGGATATCGAATAGTAGAAAAAATTTTGTTGAATTTGTTTTAGTAAAACCTAAAAAATAAAAAAATTAAAATAAAAATAAATGAAAGAAAAAATAAAACAAGATCTTTTATAATTGTAACATATAAACTGGAAATATTTATAGCAATAAAATAATAATTAAAAAATTAATAAAAATTTGAAGATAAAAGAAATTAAAAGGAATGTGGTGTGTTTGTGTAAAATTATGATTTTTCTATTTCCTTTTATTTCAAAACTTTAATAAAAAAAAAAAAAAGAAACTGGTCCAAAATCAGCAAATGATACTAATAACAATCATAGATAAAATTAGGAAGAAAATTTTTTTTCTTTTTTCATACAGTAGAAAATAATTAAAATAATTTCTGATTAAATTTAAAATATCATTTTCTTTCTTTTTTTTTTTGCATTTTCTTTTTTGCTTTTCATTATAATATAAATTGAATAAATTGGATGCCAAAATACAATATAAAAATTCATTTGTTTTTAAAATGTTTATTTAAAAGAAAAAAAAAAAACTGTCAAATTTTAATTAAAGAAATGGTGGATGAAAAATAATGCATACATTTGTAAGTTTTCTTTTATCACTAAACTTTTCATCAAATAACATTCATTAATTCAACTCATACAGTTAATATTTTCACTAACTTTTTTTTTTAAAGTATTTATGAAAATTATTAAAAATGAAAAAAAGAAGCAGTATTAGATGTGTAAAATTGATTATATTAAAGAATGAAAAAAAAAAAAAATTAGAAAATTTTTTTAAATTACTAATGAAATTTTCTGATTAATAATATTAAATCATTTGTAAAAGATATAAAAAGTGAATTGAAAAGTTCCATAATAAAAATGGAAGCAAGAAAAAAAAAAAGAAAAGAAAATTGAATGTGAAGAAGCGGAATAAATGTAAATTTTGTTTGCTTAAGTAAATTTAAAGTATCTCCCTTTCTTTTCTCTTTTCTCTCTTCTCTCTTTCTCTCTCTCTCTCTCTCTCTCTCTCTCTTTCACCTTGTGTATGTGTATATTGAAGTGGCATAGTATATTTAGCACACTTTATCGAAATTTTTATGCAGACAATGAATTATTTCCGTTTTCCAATTTTTTTTATTCTTTAAATAATTACAAATCAAATTACAATTCGATTTTTTTAAAGAATTTTTTTTTTTAAGAATCAATATTTGATATTACCAAATGATAGCAAATTTAGTTTATTTTTTATTTTATCGAAAATAAAATATAACTTTTGAACTTTCATTTCCTCTTTTCCCATTTTTCTTTTTCTCTGTTCCAGTTCAAATTACTTAAGGATAACTCATATTAATTTGTAATAATTTAATAAAATGAACTAGTAATTTTTTTTCAATCACTCAATTACAGCTACAAATATAGTTTTAAATTAATTAATTTCATTTTTTTTTTCACAAATGCATTTGTTCATAGCAAGAAATAAAAATTTAATTAGTAATTAATAATAAAAAAGTAATTAATAATATTAAATTACTTAAATAAGCATATAATTTGTTAACAGTAATATAATACTACTAAATAGATTGATCACTTTTCTAATCAAAAATTTTCAAAGTGTGAAATTTTCAAAGCATCTCAAATCCTGATTTAACATTTCAAATTATGAATGTAGATTAAAATATAATTTTAAGTTTTATTCTATCCTATTGCGACTAATATTTCCATTCTTCTTCATTAATCATTAACCGTACTATAATAAGACTTTAGATTTAAAATTTCAAATATTGAAAATTTTTTTCAGCAGACATTTGATTAATAAATTTCACAAATAAATTCACAATTAATTATTACATAATTTGAATCATGTTAGCAAGTCATCCATCTAAATTATAATTAACAAAGTATTTACATAATGCATTTAGTCAAGAATTATTCATAAATCAGTATTTAAATAAATAAATATACTTCTAAAATGATCAAACGTAA